GGTCCGCCCCTTCTGGCCCCGCGGGCCGTCGCTCCGAGCGCGCGGCGCCGTCCTCCGCGCCCCGCCGGGTCCCGCTTCCGAGCCGCGGTTTCGCCTGCTCGCTCCTGCGCGGTGAGTTCCAGCGCGTTTCGCGCCCGGAGGCGGCTCCGAAACTCTTTCAGCATCTTCCGCCGGAGCGCAGGCTGCTCCTCCGGCTGCTTTTGGGAGTCCTGCGGCGTGAGGACGGAGGCGCGCGGGAGTGCGGTTCGCTGGCGTCCCGGGTGGGCGGCGCGGGGCCCCCTCGCTCCCCCAGCCCGGGCCGCGCGCCTGGGAGGCCGGGGCAGGCGTGCGGGCGGCGGAGGTGGGCGTCGTGCCCATTTCACGGATGGGAAGGTTCGGTCCTGAGGTGTTACACTGGCCGAGTCCCTTAGCGCCTTGGTGGCAGAGTTGAGACGGGTGAACGCGCTGGTGAGAATGACTCGCAGCGAAAGGGCTTCCAGCTGCTCGTCTTAACTGCCGTGGGTGCTTCTTGCCTTCCTGTTAAGTTTAAGCACCCTCAAACGACCGTGACCCTTTGGTTCGTGGTCACCGTGTTGGTTAGTGCTGAGAGCTCAAAGGCTACTTCGTGCTGTAAAGAGAGATCTTTTGCGTCCCAAAATTCCTGGGATTTTCAAGATGCAATTAACGCCTCTACTGTAGCTGCGATAACTAAGTACCTCCGCTGCTTTTCTTAAAAACACAGGTGTAGAGGAGGCGGACATCAAAATTAGCGAACTCACGGCCGTTCCTGGGGCGCAAACTACGTCTGAAACATTAAGCAGACAACTCATTTTGGAATGAGAATCTGGAAAAGTTGGAGAAGATAAAGTTTATTCAGTAGTATCCTTATCAGAAGGCCAACAAAAGAGGTAAGTTCTAAGAGATTAACTGAGGATGGAAGAATTGTTTTGTAGATTTTTACAAAGTGTGTGATTTAATCTAGAAGGTGAGATTTTAAAATCTCTGAGAAAAGATGTACGAGATCGGTGGTGTATAGAACTCTAACCATCCGATGGGAAGAGCAGAAAGCAAGCGAGCAGCCCCTCGGTCTGACACGCTCACACCTCAGAGGTAGTCGCTGTTAACTCCTGCGTGTCCTTCCGGAATTGTGCAAGGACTTGTCCAGCTCCACACACATGCACACGGCGTGATTTTGTACATACAGTACGCATGTGCGCGTTACTTTTACTAAAGTTACTTGATATTTTTCTAATATTCATTTATATATTGATTTCACTGATTTTTTTTTTTAAAAGTGAACCAGTAGTTAGGAGAAGATATAGTTTAGTCTGACAAGGTGAAATTTTGATTTTAATGTCAATAATATTGACATTGCCTTTTAAGCAGCTGTTTTGCTGCATGTTTTCCACCAAATATATTTTCACTTTGAAGAGTGCAAAAAAAGCAATCCAAGCCCTAACTTTTCATATTGGTTAAATCTTGTTAATAGATTTTTCTTTTTAGTTTGGGGAAACTGGTTTATGTCAGAGTGAAAGAAAACAGCGCGGGTGGGTAAAGAGTTAAAATCAAATCTGCCGAGGATTTTTTTGTAATTTGCGAGGGTTATCAGTGATGCTTCCATTATTTTTGTATGTGACAAAGGTATTGTAAAAATCTTGTCTAAAGTATGTATATAGATGGTGCAGTGGCATTTCTTACGTTTTGAATTAGACGAAAGGTGTTTTTTTTATCAGGCCCACTACCTAGGTGGTGGTACCACCTCAGTTTTCTCAGACTTACAGCTGACTCACCGGAAGTCCTCACAAATTATTTAGATCTGTAATGGAGTAAATAGAATTTCTTTTCAGAGGTAGTAATAGGTAATGAATATTTTATAGCCAGTCATGTTTAGCGGTGAAAAGCAATAAGGTATTAGTGGATTAAAATTTATTTTTGTTTTTTTTTTTTTTTGGTTTTTCTCCGGTACCGGGAATCGAACTTACAACCTTGCGCTTGCCAGGCAGGCACTTTGCCGCTAAGCTAAATCCCCAGCCCCTAGTGGATTAAAATTTAGAAAATAGTTTAACAGGAGAATGGTAATGATATTTTTGATACTGCTTAATTCTCTGTGTCCTGTAAATGCAGTATCTGTTATCTGATGTGCTAGTCAGCCTCCTTTGTTTTTCCATGCTAAACACAAGAGATTTGTGAAATAATTTATAAGTGGATAATTTAGACTCAGATTTCTTTCTGAGATTTAAAAACAAGCTCAGATTTTTTGGTGACTTTTAAAAAGGAAGCTGGAAGTATTGAACTAAGTCCAATTTTACTTGGGCTTTTAGTATTCAGTAGGGGAAAATACATTTCACATGGGTTACTTTGAATTTACTTTGTTTTGGTGTTTAAAATCAAAGATAATACATTGACTCTTTGTTTTTTACATTGATTGTAAAATTAATTTGGCAGAGGAAAGGCTAGATAATAAGACGGTTGAAACTTTTTAGTTTTTTAAAATTGTATTAAAATATATATACCATACACTTACCATTTAAGCCATTTTTAAAAACTGTATACAGTTCAGTGGAATTATATATAAAAATGACTGTCTTCAGAACTTTTCCATCTTCTCAAACTGAAACTACTCATTAAACAATAACTACATTCTCCTTTCCCACGGGCCCTGGAGCCACTGTTCTCTCTGTGGATCACTTATTTGTGTTTGTACTTTGTGTGTTTTTGCTTTGAATGTGGTTATACATTTTTTTCTCCAGTGACTTAAATGAGTGAATTAATAGATTTTTTTGGTATTGATTTTACCGTATTTCTGGAAAGAACTATTACAGCACTTTTTTTGGTACTGGGGATTGAACCCAGGGCCTTACTCATTAAGCATGTACTCTACCACTGAGCTACATGCCTAGCCCAGGCATGGTAGTTTTCTTTTAATGTACTCCTTGGTTTATTTTTGCCGATCTTGTATTTAGGATTTTACATCGGTGTCCATTTTTGAAATTATCCTACTTTCAGTTTGTATGGGCTTGGTTAGGTGTTAACACTATCTTCACAATGGTTTGCAGACTTCTATATTTGTATGCTGGTTCAGGTGAGCAAGAAATTATTTCCTGAACATTTGAAAGAACTCATGAGAACACCTTGCCTCCCCTCTCCCCCAGGTTTTTTCAGATTAACACTTTTCACAGCAGCAAAATTTTCCTGTAGTTTACTTTACATTCTTGGGTCACTTTTGATAATTGGAATTGACTTAGGGAATAGTTCACTTGTTATGAGTTGTCACATATATTAGTGTACAGCTTTGTAAGGTCCATCTCTAATTTTGTTTTTTTTGTTATTTTCTCAATGCTAACTGTACATGTGTTCTTTTCGTCTCTTTTTAGGGCAGTGTACTAATCCATTGCTGCATAACACGTTATCTCAAGACCTAGTAGCCAGCAGGCAGAGGCCACTGGGTGCCATTTTAGAAGCTGCCTTAAAAAAAAAAAAAAAAAAAAAAAGAAAAGCGGCCTATCACAGGTAGCTAATGTTGTTTACGCAGCCCAGGTTGGCATCTGACTCATGGAGATCTTTCTGCCTCAGCCTCCAGAGTGCTGGGAATACAGTTGTGATCCACCATGCCTGCCCCACCTTTTCTTCCTGAAAGGAGTTCTGGCTGTGTTGCTCAGTCAGTCTTAAACTTAATGGGCTCAAGCATTTTTCCTTTCTCAGCCTCCTAGGTGGCTAGGGTCACAGGTGTATGCCACCATGCCTGGCTCTTTTAGTTGAATCCACTTTTTTTGTTGTTGTTGTTAAATAATGGGAGGTATGGCTTCAACTCTGCCCTGTACAGTTGTTTTTAACTCTATAGTTCTTGCTAAGAATATTTTGTTTCACGTGAATAAAGTACATCTCGATTGGGTTCAGAAATCTCGGAAATCCTTTTTCTTCCCGACCTGTTGCTACATCATCATCTCGCATGCCTCGTTTACGTATGTAGTTTTTGAGATGGGATCTTGCTATGTAGTCCAAGGTGGACTTGAAATAACTCTCTAGGCCAGGCTGGCCTTGAGCGTGTGGTGATCTTCCTGCCTCAGCCTCCCGAGTGCTGGGATTACAGGCCTGTGCCAGCACCCCTGGTTTCTTCCTTGTTTTAGATACGTTCTGGTTGTCTGCTTTTGTGCGACAAGTATCTGCGTGTTTAAGAAGCCTTTTTCATTAAGATGTTTGGCATCCATTTATCCTCCGCCTGGTGTCTCTTCCGCCGAGCAGCCTGGGCGTCCTGACGTGGCTGCCGGTTGCCTGGCTTCTTAGGGGATATATGGAGAAGGCAAAGCATGTGTTCTGCTGGTCGGAGCAGTCACTCGGCCTGCACAGATTTCTGTGGGAACACATTTCATGTCTGGATGAAGTAACAGCCATCTCCCTTCTGAAGAATAGCATATATGGGAGCTAAGTTGTGCCCGTTCCAGTTTTCTTTGGAAATTACAGTCTTCCAGAGGAAATCCTCGTATCATTGTGTTTTTACTTTCCTTTTTTCGTCCTTCTTTTCTGCCTGGATGCTTGTGGGACCGTCTGTCTTTCATCTGTTTACATGGTTTTTTTTTTTTTTTTGAGATGAGCATCTGAGTTGTGCAGGGTGGCCTCAGACTCGTAAACATCAGCTTCTGGAGTAGCTGCGATGACAGGCATGAGCTACTGTGCAGAGCTGCCATTTTATTATATTTTAAATTGCATATAATGATTAAAGTGAACCCACTTGATACGTAATGAAAACCAGAGGACTCCTGGTCTCACTCTGCTTACTCCTGAACCCTGCTCCAAAAGCAATCACTTGCATCTCTTAGCTATGCTTCTGGTATTCACCAACGTATTTCCGTACGTTCTGCCTTTTTCATTTGAAACTGCTGGCTTTCTCAGAAGGGAAGGCTGTGATTTCAGGAACTGTTCTCTTCCTTACCCCTCCCCCTCATGTCACTTCCTCACTGTATACACATCAGTACCCTATGGGATACTTACAATGTTACCATGACAAACAGGCCATATGACATACTGTGGTATTCGTTGTCTTTTCCTGACTCTTCCTTCTTTCCTAGTTTTCTCCCTCAATGTTTAGGCACACGAAGTATTCTGTCGTTTCATTTATCTATCTAAAGACACCTGTTCTGGCCATGCTGGTGGCACACGCCTAGAATCCCAGCACTCGGAGGGTGAGGCAGCAGGATAGCAAATTGGAGCCCAGCCTAGGCAATTCACTGATTTAGGAAAACTCTGCCTAAAAACTAAAGAAGTAAATAATTAGTGCTAGCTCAGTGCCAATGCCTTGAATTCAATCCTTAGTTCTAGAAACAAAACAAAAATAGCCCTACCTGCTCTCTCGGTCTGTATAGTTGTCCTGAACTTCTATTTTCCTGTTACCCTTTTTCCCCCCTTGTAGTAGCTTCAGGAAGAGTTGGGGTTCTCTGAGAGCTTTCATGTCAAACGATGCATCAACGTGGACCACCCGGGGGGATAGAATTCTGTGTCCCACTTAAGGAAATCTTTTCTTCTCCCCCTTGGAGTATTGAAGGCATTGCTTCATTATCTTCTAGTTTCCAGGGTTGTTACTGATGTTTTTATCATTTGGGTATTTATATACAGCTTAGCTAAATCTAAGATGTTCGTCCTAAAAAGTACATGTAGCTAAAGTGTTTTCCTTTTTTCTCTTCAAGAACCTAGGTGGGTCATAGAAAATTTTTGGTGCATAAAGTTTCATACTGATTTCAGAAAAAACCCCTAAACACGATCGCCACCTATATTCTTGTATGTTTTCAGGCAACAACCGGTTACAGTTTGTGTTTGGGGTCTAAAGCAAGCTGTGCTTTGGGCTCCTAGCAGGATGCTCAGAGAAGTCTGTCCCCTAACTCATTACCAAGTAGACTAGGGCCAAGTTAGTTTCTCTTTCATTGGCTAGTTTTGCTGCTTGCACATGAAAACGTTCTAATAATCTAGGTTTAATGCCCATTGTTTAAATTTTAGTTCTTGCAAAACGCTATTTTATTTATCCCTTTATTGTACATTACGACCTCACCAAAACGCGTTTGGCTGTGGGGGCTGGTTGTGACTTCAGAGCCGTGTGCAGGTGCTGGGGAAGGCTGTGAAGGCCTTCCAGCGTGCGTTCACGCGAACCTGTGCGCTGTGCCGTGACTGGTGTCTTCTGCACTGCTGCCCCGTTAGTTTCCTGGAAAGCTTCATAGTTCAAGCTTAGTTTCTTTCTGTATAACACAACTTGGCTCATTGGGGACCTGAACACTGTCAGTTTAAAATGGATTATTTTCTGATACAGCTTTTCCTAAGAAAAGCAGAGATTTTGCTACATATGAAAAAGTTAAAAACTAATGTCTGTTAACATTGATCTTGGCCCAGGCAAGGTGGTGCATGCCTGTAATCCCAGCACTTGGGAGGCTGAGGCAGGAGGATCGTTGCAAGTTTGAGACCAGCCTGGGCTACATAGTGAGCTCAAGGCCAGCCTGAACTGCATAGCAAGACCGTCTCAAAGACAAAAACCCCCACAAGGCAGCTTTTCATTCAGCGGTAAGTCTGAATACCTGTGTTAAGTTCTGAGCTCAGCCTATATAAGTATCTCATTCACAGTTTCTGCCCTGAAAGGAGGCTGACATTCTAATAGATACACAATGTTACAGCATTCTTATAACTAAAAGTGTTAGGAAAAGTGAAGTGTTCGATGAGAATGTCAGAGTAACTAGAAGAGGCCAGGTTTATGTAAAGACTTGAAGGAGAGAATAGTGTGGCAGTTGCTTAAGATGAACTTCAGCTAAGTCTAAGGAGATTTTATATTTACTAAAAGTGCAGTTATTTTAGATGTTTTCACAAACTTCATTTTTCAGACAGGGTCTCACTATGTAGTCCAGGCTGGCCTTGAACTCTCTAGGTAGTCAAGACTGGCCTTGAACTCATGGAGTGTCCTCCTGCCTTAGTCTCCCAGAGTGCTGGGAGTACACGTGTGTGCCACCATGCCTGGCTTAAAAGGTTTTATAAGATCTGCTAACTTCGTATTTTACATGGATGGCACTTGTTTTATTTTTCTTCCTTTTGGTTTAAGGTTCTTGTAGCAGTGGTTTAGCTTGGTTTCTCTGTCAGCAGTCCTGAGGACTGTGGCTTTCACGCAGCATGTGTACAAAGGAAAGCGTGAGAAGTGGTGGGTTCCTGGTACGGGGCGGGCCGGGGGAAGGTGGTAGGGTACAAAACTGTCACTTTTGGAAATAGTAGATTGCAGAGATGTTGTGTTTATCAGGGTGAAGATTCTCAACTATCATTTGTCTTAAGACACATTTTAATGAAAGATGACTAGTGGTGTCTATCCTCTACCCTTTACCATCACAGCTCTAGTTCATTTAAAAATTCAGTACTTCAGAAGCACCATAATCAGTCCTTCATCTTTCAAACAGACTTTGATTGCAAGGATTGTTCTGAATAAGCGTTCCCTTCCAAACTTTCATGCTAAAGCTACTGCTTTAAAAAATTACATGATGGGGCTGGGAATGTAGCTCCCATAAAGCACTTGCTTAGCGTATGTGAGGCCTTGAGTTCTATCCAGCACACCTACCAAAAAATTACCTCATGCTGATCCTGGTCTTTAAACTTATCTGTCTGGATTGAGGCAGCTAAGAAATTCATTGTTAGTTTCTACAAAAATATATACTTCTAACCATGATCAAGCCAGCTGGGACCATGTTTCCTTTTGCATTAAGGGGTAAATTTTATTAAGCCTAATTTGTAATATTTTTGTAATAGAAATGTTTGGTCTTACCTGTTCATTCCATGTGGTTCTGATTTTAACATCTTAGTGTAGAAAGCTGCATATAGTAGTCAGAATTAAGTAGACTTCACTACATTTAAAATTTAGTTTTCATTATGTAGAAACAAATTAGAAGTATTTTATTACGAATTGGAACTTTAGATGAATTTTGTTCCAAAGCAAGCTCTTGAGGATTACCTATTTTATATATTGGAAATTGAATTACTAAGAAAGTTTCATTTTGAAAATCTTAGTAAATAGTTGTCCTTTTAAATGACAGTTGAGGGGGCTGGGGCTTTAGCTCAGCGGCAAAGCGCCTGCCTGGCAAGCGTAAGGTCGTGAGTTCGGTTCCCGGTACCGGAGAAAAACCAAAAAAAAAAAAAAAAAAAAAAGACAATCGATCAATGATTTGGAGATTAATGACTAAAACTATAAAACATGTGCGGATGGACTTGTTATATGTAGACTTTGCTTTTTTTTTGACAGGAAATGCACAACTTTGAGGACGAGTTAATGTGTCCCATTTGTTACAGTATTTTTGAAGATCCTCGTATACTACCATGCTCTCATACATTTTGTAGAAGTTGTTTGGAAAACGTTCTTCAGGCATCTGGTAATTTTTATATTTGGAGACCTTTAAGAATTCCACTCAAGTGTCCTAACTGCAGAAGTATTATTGAAATTGCTCCAACTGGTATTGAATCTTTACCTGTTAATTTTGCATTAAGGGCTATTATTGAAAAGTACCAGCAAGAAGACCATCCAGATGTTGTTTTCTGCCCTGAACATTCTAGGCAACCATTAAATGTTTATTGTCTACTAGATAAAAAACTAGTTTGTGGTCACTGCCTTACTGTAGGTCAACATCATGGTCATCCTATAGATGACCTTCAGAGTGCCTATTTGAAAAAAAAAGACACACCTCAGAAACTGCTCAAACAGTTAACTGACACACATTGGACAGATATTACTAATCTTATTGAAAAGCTAGAACAACAAAAGTCTCATTCTCAGGAAATGATCCAGGGTGATAAAGAAGTTGTTCTCCAGTATTTTGAGGAGCTTACTGCTACATTAGAACAACAAAAAAAAATTTTCTTAACAGCTCTCTGTGATGTTGGCAATCTGTTAAATCAAGAATATACTCCACATATTGAAAGGATGAAAGAAATAAGAGAACAGCAGCTTGAATTAATGACAATGACAACATCTTTACAAGAAGAGTCTCCACTTAAATTTCTTGAAAAAATTGATAACATCTGCCAGCGTGTGCAGATCTTGGAACAAAGACCACTTCCCGAGGTCCGACCTCTTGAAATTTATCCTCGAGTAAGCCAAGTATTGAAAGAATGGAGCAGAACAGAAATTGGAGAAATTAAGCAAGCTCTCATTCCTGAAATGAAAATTTCTTCAATACGGATGCCACCTTCCTGCCCTGATAAAGATAAAAAAGTTGAGTTTTTTCAAATTTTAAGCTTTTCAGTGTTATTACTGTTGGCATTCTGTTTCTACCAGTACATAGTAACCTTCTTACATGAAGTACCTTCAGTATGTTTTTCTGAAGTCTTTTTGTCTGTTTACCAGAGTTTATCTAGCAATTTGCCTGATTTAAAAGGCATACTATGTCACACACTATATTTGTTAAAAGAATTCGTGGGGAAAATAATTTCTCTTTGAAAATTTGCATTGTTAAACAGGCTTATTCTGTACAGCAGAGGCTAACTATTGCTACTGGAGAAACAGGAGGTAGCATAAACAGTAAACTAAACTTTGGTAGAGTTCCAGCAAATTCAGAAATGTTAAACCTCTTATGCTTCTGTTGGAGACAGTGCATCAGTTAATGAGACTACGAAACATTCAGATCATTAGATACTGGTAATCATTAGTGGTTGGTTTGAATATTAATATTGTGCCATTTGTATTGGTTTAATGTTGACTTAATGCTGCTCAAACATTTTACTGCTGTTCTTTTACTACTAAGTCAATGGTCGGCTATTCATGTATCTGTATAGTGTTTTAGAGTAAAAGATGGAAAAATGCTCCAAGTGCATGTCTTTATTTGGATGTGGCCTGAAGCTTTTGAGTGCATGAATAGAGATGATAAAGACAGGCTTAAAAACCCAACCAAATCCTAAGTGATAAAAGACAGCTTAAAGACCTTTTTGATCAAATGTAACTATATATATTTAATGTTTTCGACGGATTTAAGAACTCTAAAATGTTCAGCAGCGTTCATTGCAGGGGTTGGGGGCATCCATGCATGTAACCCCAGCACTTTGGAGGCTAAGGCAGGAGGATTGTTAACATGAGCCCGTCTCAAGAGAGCAAAGTAAAACTACTGAGTTTGGATAATCTTGACAATTTCTAATACTTACGTTTTCATAAATTTAAGATTGCATTTGGGAGCTTTAGTAGGACACTTTAGGAGGACAGAATGATGTTGGTGACACATTTCATTCTCAACAGATTTTTCACGGCATCATTTTGTAAAACTGTATCTTAGAACAGTCTTTAAGTTTTCCTGCCACGTACTTCCTATGCTTGTGCAAAAGTACCAACAACTAGCTTGTTTAGTCAGAGCTCTTCAATTCCCTTTGCAGGGATTGGCATTATGAGGTCTGCAACAGTACTTCTGGCCCATCGTCAGTCACATCTTAAGCACAAACAGATTTGTTTTCCAAAAATCCGAGACAAGCTGCTTTTGGAGCTCTATTTCTAGGAGCCTTTCCTTCAGTGACTTCGCAGGTCAGCTCAGGGAATACGCCTGGCCTTGCCGTGTGAGCATACGAAGTTCTAATGCATGTGTGTTTATAAACTAGTTCTAAAATACTCCAAAGGTCTTGTTTGCTAAGAATAAGCCTTCGCACTTAAGATGATGGCACGAGGACACTTTATGATGGGAATCAGCCTACCCTAACAATCACTGTGCAGTCAGAAAGCCAGTGTAATGGAGGTGAGGCGAGACAGGACAGAACTCTACACAGTGTGATTCTTTGAAATTTTAGTCACACCACGAAAGTCTTAAACATTAGTAGGCAATAAAATGTTAAGCTATTATGCGTCATGCACTTAACCTTGTACTTCTGAATTATGAAAGCTATATAGCTACCATGTAGGAGAATTGGCCCACTTTTCAGAGTTCATGGTCAGAGAACTCGAGGCCAACCAACCAAGTTTGTTAGCAAAGTAAGGCTTCTAATCTGTACAACTTATAGCTAGAAATCAGAAGTATGTAAGACCAGTTTAGGCTTGAGGTATTTGGTAACTTAATGGGTGCTCAAAGAGCAGTAGTTTTGGAAATTTTGTATGAATCTGGATATTTTCTCCTTAAAAAATTAGTACTGAGATGTTGCACTGGTTAAAAAAATTTCACTTCTCACCAATAAAAAAAAGCACTAATATATAGCATTTTCTATTTTCCCCTTCAATACCTGAGTTTCAGATCTTCCTTTAAGTTCATTCTACCTGTGTTCACATTTTAATGGCTTTATTATGATAAAAAATGTCAGGTTTTTGATATCTAAATAAGTCTTCTGAATAATGAAACAATTTTAAATCCTGAAGGTAAACACCCAGAAATTAAATAGCTAGGGCAAAGATGTTTGATTCAATCAAGTGGTTGTTGACTCATTTTCAGTAGCATAATATTCCTGAGCCAATATAATCAAAATCTTGACAACTTGGCAGTCATTCATGGTATCTCACATTCCACTTATTACTATATTCACTCTTACGAGATAATGGCCTAGTTACACTCAAACATTGTTTTTACATTCTTTTGCAACAAATTTTAAATAGACAAAGCACATCAAGTTTTTAAGTACCTATGTTTAAATTCTTATAAATTAAGAATGCCTGTTTACAAAACAAGGTTCTCATTATTTGGGTAATATGATTGTCAAAGTTAGTAAACCAAGTGGAATGCCTTAAAATTTTACCCAAGATGATTTTAGCAGATTTTTCCAGCGTAGGTCGAATGTCCACTGAAGGTATATTGAGCAACAGGATCTAGTTTTGGAACTTTATCTCAACAAACTGGTAATACCTTGGAACAGTGGGCAAGTCATCTGACCCTATAGGAATCTGGTTTTTCTTAATAGTCTCACAAAACACTCATCCTGCTGGGTATGACAGCATATACGTGTAATCCCAGCACTGAAGAGGCTGAAGCAGGAAGATCACCACAAACTTGAGGCTAGCCTGAACTACACAGTGAAATGAAACCCTGTCTCAAAAATCCCCCTTTCATTCTTATCATCTACAAACAGGTATACAAGAAAAAAAACAATAAAACAAAACCAGGGGGTACCCACTGAGGAGTGAACCCAGGGCCCTCAGTTGATTCCCAGTCCCTTTTTGAGACAGTATCCTGATAAATTACAAAACTGCCCAGCTTGGGCTAAATCTACAATCTTCCTGCCTTAGAGAACATTGTTTTAGACATTGTAACATGATTCTTAACATCATAAAAGTTTTGTCATCATTCAGAATATGTATTTTATACAGGTCATAATTCTTAGAAACCAGTAATACACCAAGTCTATGCCAATTCAACTTGAATCTTCAGTATAAAATTCAACAAAGTTCTTTAGATGCAATTTCTTTTGGGTTTACTGCAACACTCTTTGTTATATTGTATGTCTTGTAAATTCCAATAAGTCTATCAGAAATCTCAAACATATTATTTCGAAGGGAAATTATTATGAACTGGGCATTTTTTGTTTGTTCCTAAAGAAAGAAAAAAAAGGAATATTAAATAACAAGTAAATCATATAAACATTTAAGCCTTAGTTCCCTCAAATATTTCTTGGGCAGTAAGTTCAGTATTACTTAGGTAATTAACATGTACAGGAATGATAGTACAGGTCATAAAACAATACTTAAGAGGAATCTGGGTATTTTTTGAAGCATTACTGCCTATACATCTAGGGGAACACATTTAGGAAGACGATTTGGGATTCTAGCTGGTACTCTGTTAATCTGGGTTAACAATTTACATTTTACTCATCCAAAATGAATGGTACAAATAAGGATTTGGTTGCTGGATAGCAGAAGACTTAGAGTTAGGGAACACAGAAAAAAGCTTAATAGTAAACAACAAAACAAAACTCAATTCCACATAGAATATTAAAGGAAACCATAAAATTTCTAGAATAAAAAAACCCATACACGATTACTTACATAGATATAAAATGCAACAATGGACACATTTTTAAAATCAAGGGCTGCGTCAATCTCATCCATGAAGTAAAGAGGAGTAGGTTTATAGTGGTGAAGAGCAAATACTAAAGCCAGGGAACTAAGTGTTTTCTCCCCTCCTGAAAGATTGAAGATCTTCTTCCAACTTTTCTTAGGTGGTCTAACACTGCAATAATTATGAAAATCGTAGTCAACTTACTAGTAAAGCTAAAGTTAAGGCTTTATGTTGGGTATACCTATAATCCCTGTTGCTCAGGATGATGAGAGAGAAGGATCATCAAGCCTCAGGTTGGCCGGGGTACCTTACCCAGAACCTTGCCTCAAGATTCCATTTAAAAAAGGGGCTGTGCTCAGGGAAGAGCATCTGCTTCACCTGCCTGAGACCCTGGATTTAATCTATTCTACAGGAGGGTGGCAAAGTCATGATTTTTTTTTTTTTTGGATTCAGCAACATACACCCAGTCATTGTTATTTTATTTAAAACAAAAATTTTGGGAGAGTTTCAATCTCATCAAATTGGTGATGGGCTTGTGATCCTCCTGCCTTAGCCTCTCAAGAGTGCTGGGATTAGAAGGTGTGTACCACCATGCCTGGCTAAGACTCCACAACTTGTTTTCTACAGTTGAGTTCCACTACCCTTCCTTCTTGCGAATCTAATTGGCTTTTCACAAATACGAACTTTAAAATTTTATCCAGTAAAATTTTTTAATCCTGACATTAGACTGGAAAGATCTGAAAATTTACAAATTAGGTTGTAAAGATTAAATATTTGTTTTTCCATAATTTATACTGTGAGCTGCCAGTGTAAACAAATTAGTATTTATCATCCAATAAAACAAGCTGTCAATCTTGCCTTCACATCTCACTGTTTTTGGGTGGGTGGGGGAGTACAGGGATTAACTCAGGCAGTGGCTGCACCACTGAGCTAACGGCCCAGCCCACCCTGACATCTCATTGTCACCAAATAATTAAAGATGAGTATTCAAAACTCCATACAAACCTGAACATGATTCCTTCTGAGAAAGGATCCAAGCTGTCTACCAGCTCCAGTTCAGCATCCCCTCCCAAAGTAAGCATTTGGTAATTTTCCTTTAATTTACTTGTTATTATAGAAAAACCAGCCATGAATTCATTAAGCCTCTGTTTTCGAAGATCTTCATAGGCCTGTCTAAAATTATCTCTTTCAGAAGTAATTTTATCCAACTCTGCAACCCGCTGCAAATATAATTCTTCCTGTGAAAAGATTTGAATCTCTTTAGATAGGAGATGGAAATTAATACTGCTCATTATATAAAAGTAAAGGTCATAATGTAGGCTAAGAACTAAAAATTTGTAACACTTAAAGAATTCATTCATACTTTCTTTTTATACTCTGCAATGGCACCAAGGTTTGGTTTCATTTCATGGCACTGTGCTTCCAAAAGTGCAATTTGATTTGTTATAGAATCTGGACTCTTGATTGTTTCAAGATCTTCTGGGCTTAGAACAGAAACTTGTTCAACAGGATTATCTTCTATAGGATGAAGTGCTATTTTTGAAATCTATAAAAGAAAGCACAGTAATAAAATTCTTTTTTAAAAAGCATGAAAAATCACATAGTTATGAAAACAACAGGAATTATGACAAATCAACTCTCCTCAAAAGCTTTCAACAGATACAGTTGTTCCGTAGGAAGTGTTCATGTAATCTTTCCTTAAACCTCCAGATCAGCTCTGGGGTGAAAATGTAGTTGCACAACTGTCACCAGTACTGAGACTTTTTTCTGTATATAATAAGTACTATTTATTGCCCACTGTACTCCTGAGACGTGATTACAGTATACTCTCTCATGGAATTAAGAATCCCAACATACCTCCAAGGGCAAAAACCCCACATCCTTTTCATAGAAGATACAGGAATAAAGTTAAACTTGCTTAAATGATAGCAATCTCACCTCTTTTCGCCAATATTTTATTTTAGAATTATGCTCAGCAATGTGACCATCTATTTGTTCAAGTTTCAACTTAATACTAAGTGCATCTTTTTGAAGGGCATGTTCATTATCTTGAATAACTTTTAGTTCTTGGAGCAGATTACGATGTTCTTTCTGGATCTCTGGTAAGGACTCCTAAAAACCAAGAAGAACTGATACGTACAGGATCTTCCCAAACAGAATAGGCATTTTCACATCAGAAAGGAGAAGTCAGCAATCTCTCCCCACATCCTTTCCATTTAAAATTTAAAAAAGTTAACAAAGTAACTATATGTTGTACAAAAGTTAAAATTTCACTTTCTTTAAGCCCTGAGATGGTATATCCAACTTTTAAAAATTGCTTCAAACATCACTCCCTTCCCTTTTACTATGAAATATTACCGTTGCAGTGTTTGTATTTTTTATGACGTCTGCTGCTTTGTCCTCAAGACTTCTTAGTTCTGCTGTTAAGTCATTTACTTCTTTCTCAGTATCTTTTATTTCTTTCTCTGTGCGAAACACAGAGTCTTGAGCCTTTTTCAGGTTTCTAAAGCAAAAGGACATTACAAATGTAATGATGTGATACTGTTTTGGAGATCTACCAAGAACTTTTCATGATAGCTAATGTGAAATTTTTTTCCTCATAGATTCTTTATGATTACTAAAACAACCTTGAATTGGTTTTTATATATTATACAAATACTCGTGGGATGATTTGTGTATTAAACTCACTATAAAGCAATGAAATATTCTTATACAAACTTTAAAGTATCATCCAACTTTAGATGCAAAATTATCCACTAAATTATTAAATTCTTTTGTCATTTCCCATCAGATTAGAGATTTTTGAAGATTTTTAAAGCATACTTCTAATATAAGCAAGCGGCTTAGTCATTGTCTTTGAGCAAAAAACAATGGAGTAACTAGATAATCAATAATGAAATGAAACAGTTTCCTGTGTTTTATATATATAGCTAGCTTTAATTACAAATACTGTAGAAAATTAAGCATGACGAATGGATAAACTTGTTCTTTTGGTGAGATGGAACAATGCAATTTTCTAATTAAAATTTTAAGATACTGGAGTACAGTTTACTGGTAGAGCTCCTGCCTCACATGCATGAGGCATGTGAGAGACTACATACAAAAAAGTTACTGAGACAATTTTGCTAAAGATTCTATTCTTAACTACCTTTTAAGCACTAGATCTATTCAAATTACATACATGTCTCCAGACAAGACTCTGACGTCTGTGTGCTCGAAACTGCAGAGTTATATAATTTTACTCTGCCATGGCTTACCTGTTTACCACTTCTAAAAAACTGGCCACAATAAATGTTCATTCTAAGTTTGCCCTTACTAAAGTCCTGTTAAGTAATAACATGTCAGATAGGTTTAATAAGTAACAGTAAGAGAAACAGTTAATGGAACATTAAATTTAAATATTAACTCCCTTTGCAATGTGAGGAGAGGAAGACTGGTTAGGGAAGTATGGATATTTTACCTGTCAGCAGTCTTGATTGCTACTTGGGCTTTAGTAATAGCAGAAGCACATTCATCTAGCTGCTTATTTATTTTATCAAGTTTGTCTTGCTGGGCCTTGAGTTTATGGTTATTGATTTCCAGGATGATATTGTGTAACCGTTTAACCTCAGCTTCTACTTTACCAGCTTTCTCAGCCACACCATCATATTCTGCAAAGAAGAAAAAATAACTTAATTCATGTTTCTATGCCAATGAGCATCGTTTTGTTAGATGGAAATTTCTTTAATCACTTAACCTGACATAATACACTTTTAGGTATTAGGAAAAAGTACAATTAAAAAACCAGAACCCTATGTCAAAACAGTATCATAACAACACATAATGTTAAAAACCTCTTGCTCAACATTTGATTTCTATGGCTTCATCCTTCAGGCTCTTTTCAAACACTTTTTCTTACAGATGTTTCACTGACTTGCTGGTTTCACGGTTGTCAGCCTTAAACTATTATGCCTGAGTCTATTAACTTGCTCATGGTGAAGAAATTGTGGCTACTTTCTTCTTACCCAACTTAGTTTCTCACATGTTGTAACAGCGAAGGACAAGATAAACTGGTGTTTCGTCCCTGTGATAACAGGTAAACATTTCCCAGATTCTTGTGTAGATGGGGTTTAGACATAATTTAAGTCTATTCATACTGACCTGCATAATCTGGAAGGGCACGTTTCTGCTGGCAAGTAGTCTAGAAAAGTCTAGATTTTCTGTGATGGCATGAGAAGATCTGGTGGCCAGTCAGTATCTCTGGGAGTACTGATTATAGGCTGTGAAGTTAACTTTGATGATGTGGAATGTTAGGTGCAGTGTGCTTCTGCTGTAGGTATGTATGCAGTGACATCTTCCCAATTTGAGAGATTACTATCTAAATGCGGAACAGGTAATACTTCTTTTGATTGTTCTACAAAGGTTCTCTGGAAATTATTCCTGAATGTTTAAGCTAGGAACTCTTGTGTAAACATTCTAATACAGTAACCTGTTACACTTTTACTATACAAATTCTACGTATACTAGTGAGCGTGGATTATGTTCTCTATAGCTGAATTCTAGTCACCATTCAATAAGGAAGGATGGGGAGATGGTAGAAAGGTGGAGAATTCAAGCTGTCAAGAATATCTATGCTTAGAAAGGCAAGCAGAAATGCTGACTGGAATAGAGTAGCACGAAGCTCCCCTATGGGTACTTGGACATTTGGTACAGGAAGAGCTAAGTAGACCTGGTGAGATAAAAGGGTGGGATAGATTTAACTATTTCTTTCCTTTCCTTATCTCTCCTCCTAAGCAGGTGTTAGAATTTCAAAATCTCCTAAGTATCTTCTCATTTTGTTTATCTTTTTGTGCTACACTGAAGAACACAGCCTGATCTTGCAGCCCATCTATTACGTTTAATTCCAGCATCTCTATTTCTTATAATTCTGACACTACTATTTGGTTCTTAAAAAAAACAAACTTGCTTTTTGGGGGATTCTTTATCTTCCTGAGGATGTAATATGTACATATTTAGTAGTCCTATATACATTGCTAACACTTGCAATTACTTTGTTTTTGGTCTTTTTGAGACAGGGTCTCACTATGCAGTTCAGACAGCCTTGAACTCGCAACGATCCTCCTGCCTCCGCCCTCGCCTCCCCGCAAGTGCTGGGATTACAGGCGTGCGCCACCACGCCTGGCTCCAGCAGTTGCTTTTTATACGTCTAACTTACTGCATTTGTGCATTTGCCAAGGAAACTACCTTGTTCACACTGATGATGATCTCTGTGGTTAAAATTTCCTTAGGCTGCCGGTCTGCTTGGCTCACTTAGAGAGAGCAGCAGATGCTGTTGCAGCCAGCAGAACCATGCTGACAGCAACTAAGGGGCTGAGGCAGGTGTGCAACTACGAAGGCTCATATTCTTGACTAGCTTCCCCAGCCCTAAGTGGTTTTTTTCCTTTTCTTTTTTGCAGTGCAGATAGAACCCAGGCCCTTGCACATGCGAGGCAAACAATGTACCAATGGAGTCAATTTCTAGCCTCATCCCAGGTTTTTTAGGGCATGTTCCCTCTTGTTTCCAAGGACTCAATATGGGGTCCTTTCTACAGTAGTATGTTAGAAGTAGACACTACCATGTATGCAATCATTTATCTTAAAATGTTCATTTAGATATGATTTATTAAAGCTATACTTACATGTTCAGGTGTTAAAAAACTATTATCCATCATCTCTTGTCTGAATTAGTGCAATAATACACCCAATCTCTGTTCTCACCTTTTTTCTCTTTATTCTCTAAGCTGGAGCCAGGGAGATACACTTACAATCTAAATTACCAAGTATCTAGTCTTCAGTTTATGCTTACAGAAATAGGTCCTCCATAGCAGACATTCATGGAGTTTACTGGCAGTAACCAGTAGTTTCTATAAGAGATATGCAGAACTAAAGGAGTATCATTTGGTTGTGTGTGCAAATCATTTATTTCCTACGTGCTCTTCGAGTAGTTTCTCTAAATTCTCATTTTTCTAAATCTGTAAAATAACTACTATAACAAAAGAGTTTTGTGAGTATTAGGACTGAAGTACGCTAAGTATGAAGTTAAGAGCCAGGGCTCTAGAATGAGACCACATCGCTGATTCCTACACCACCAACATGCCGTGTGCCCTTTGGCAAATGACATCAGCCACTGGCTGCCTCGGTTTCCTTGTGAGATGAGGTTATGGAGAATGCTGTACAGGCTTGAGAAGTAAATAGCAACAAACTATAAAGCAGTGCAGTGATTTGCACATCACTGAGACGTAAATTGTTATTCTGTAAACTGCTATCTTAAGCACTGTAAACTTTATCTTTGACAATGTGAAAAGTCTGTGTCTTTAAACATACCTGCTTTGAAAGCACTGACATTTTCTTCCAACAATTTCTGCTTTTTTTGGTCAGGGGCTGTGGCAAGTACATTAGTTTCAAGTTCCTTAACTTGTATATTCAAATAGTCTTCTTGCTCTGATAAACGCTAAAAATGTTTTAACATTTAAGACTAATATGTTAACACATTTTTAAAACAAGTACTTAAAATCTTTAGAAAATATGCTAACAAGAAAAGGGCAAAGACATGAATACATAGATAATGAAAATGGCCCCAAACACAAAATAATAAGACTAGTTCAAATGCCATTTTGTAGTTTAGAAAGCAGCAAACTTATATATACTTCAGACTACCTAGTACATTTAAAGACCTGGAAAAGTATTTGTACATGCTGTTTCATGAATTAGAATCCACTGTGAAGACAATCTGTCATCATACAACAAAGCCTTACACACTGCACTACACACTGTAAAATGCTTATAATTCATCTTAGAAAATGACTGGATGGATATGTACACAGTACTCCAAGGATATTTTCAACTGTGGCAATGTACAAAGTAATACAGAAAAACATCAAAAAGTGGTGTACATAAATGCTTGAGAACAGCTAAAAAACAAAGATAATTTATACTGGCTTGGAAAGAAAGCCAGAATTTATTAAGTGAAGAAAAGTTAGCATGGTACGATATTAAATGTATGATCTGTTCTCTTTACATAAACATATCCACCAGATATGTAACAAATATGCAAACTTCACATTTTAAAAGCTGAGGAATATACACCAAAATTGGAAGCAGTCACCTGGATATTTTCTGAAACTTAAGAAAAAATGATGGGCATACACTACTTTTACCTAATAAAGAAAACATTCCATTCCGAAAAGAGTAAAATACACTGTAACCTATGTAACTTAACTGCTAAGGGAGGTCACATTCTATGGAGTATCAGTGAAAATCGGAACGGCTGAAGAGCAATATTGTGACGAGATTACTTACTAGGACTCGGAAAGAAAATCACCTCTTACAGTTTAAAATTGGGAGTGAACATCAAAACGGTTCAGCCAGACTGCTGCTAAATCCTAAGTTTCTGCTAACACACACACACACACACACACACACACACACGCGCGTGCGCGCGCAGTACCTGGATGCTGGCTGTGAATTTCTCTAGTGTACTCTTCATTTCTCGATCATTATGTCGTAACTTAAGTACTGCTTCTTCAAGTTGTACTTTCCGTTCTTGGATTTGCACTGCTTTCTTAGAATCTCTTTCCAACTGTGATTCCATTTTATTTACCTACAAAGACACACGAGTCAAGTGTAATTTCAGATTTTTTTTTTTTTTT